CGGATGGAAACTAATCAAGGAGAGAAGCAACCTAGAACTAAGGAGAAACTTCCTGACAGTGAGAACAATTAACCAGTGGAACAACCTGCCTCCAGAAGCGGTGAATGCTCCAACACTGGAAGTTTTTAAGAAGAGACTGGACAGCCATTTGTCCGAAATGGTATAGGGTTTCCTGCCTGAGCAGGGGGTTGGACTAGAAAACCTCCAAGGTCCCTTCCAACTTTACTATTATTATTATTATTATTAATAAAAGGACTGAGAAGATGGGGAAGATCAAGAAATCATGATTGGTTGTAGTTGATGAGTTCCCAAAAAGAGATGGATGAATTTGAGGACTTCTCCTTCGCAAGGAAAGTTTAGACACTGACTAAGCCTAGCCAATGGAGAATCCAGTCTCCAGAGTTTTTGGGAGCCCTTGTAAAGGCATACCTTATAAATGCTGAAAAGGATTGTCTTGATATCAGAAGGGAGGTAAAAGATGCCATTGAATCAAGTGAAAAAGAATTCACTCCTTCAGGAAAGATTTCTCTTGTTAAACTTTCACAATCAAAATTGTTTGATTATTATTCTGTATCTACTAATTTGCTTCCCTTCGAACTTCATACAATGCCATTGTTTCCTTAGGTCTCACAGGAGCACAAGGCCCACCAGGTAAGATACTGGGAGGGAAACAAATGCTTAATGAATAAATATGTAGATTGAAATGTTTATTTTGATGGAGAAGTAACAAACAATTGGCAGAATTCCTACACTGAACCAAATTGAACCAAACCATAATTTGTTTAACCACAGTGTATTGATTAAATCATACATATAATCCATAAACATAATATTTCTTTATGAACTCAGGTTGGAGAGCAATAATGTAATGAGAAATGGGATAGTCCTTTTTTAATTTGAACAGATTATTTCTTTCTTTAAACTGGAACCGGAATGGCTTTTTCTTCAATGTAATTTCCAAGATGGTAGCAATGGAATTTTGCATTCCAATTTTATACATGTTTGCTTAGATATAAGCCACATTTAGTGCTGCAGACCTATTCCTAGAAAGTAAGCATTTACTTCCATTGGATGCATAGTAATTCTTATCTGTGCATTAGTCATTTTCAACATAGTAGATGATGAAACAACATGAAATGATGTCTACATGTGTATCTCCAGATTCTGGAAATCCCTGAAATGAATGGACATATATGTGCTAGGTTTTTTCTGCCAAATGATGAATTCCAAATTGATAAAAAAAACAGGCTATATTCATCCACTTATTGGAGATCCAAGGGAATCTTACAGATACAAACAAAAAGCAAAGAAGCAGAGTCTTCATAGCATGGAAATGCTACCGCATACCAATTAAACCAGTGGTTCTCAACCTGTGGGTCGGGACCCCATTTGGGGTCGATCGACCATTTCATGGGGGTCGCCAAGCAAGGCTGTCCGCCATTTTTTTATCCGCCATTTTTTCCCCTTTTCCGGCGGGTGCCTTACCTCCCTTGGGCTGGGCCAGCTGGTGGTCGGCCTGCTCCGTCTCTGCCGCTTGCCAGCTACGCCTTGGCCGGCGCAGGGGGTGGAACCACACATGCGCAGCGCTCCCGGGCAGGGAAAGTCCTCGACTTATGACTGGTTGGGTAGTCCTCGACTTACGACCGGTTTAGTCCTCGACTTATGACCGGTTTAGTCCTTGACTTACGACCGCTTTAGTCCTCGACTTACGACCGGTTGGGGTCGCGGCATTAAAAAGGTTGAGAACCACTGAATTAAACAATGGTATAGAATATTATTCATTCCATATGGTCATTCCGCAGGTCTGACAGGAACTCCAGGCCGACCTGGATCTAAAGGTAAGTCTTTCAACATTGGCTATAAAAATGCTTTGGTTCTCATCATCAGGACAGGGCAGTATTATCATGGTATGCTAGAGCAATAGTCTAACTTCTTCCCTCTACTCCAGAGGCACATACAGCTCTTACTGGGTTGCAAAATAGCTGAGACCTCTGTATTTATTCCTGATCATCAAGAGATTCTGTCTGACTCCTTTTTCTCCTACAAAAAGACTATAAAGCTGGAATGTTTCAGTCTTTTTCCAACCAAGTCCTACAGTCCAAAAACAGGGAGAGCCAAAAGAAACACTCTGTTCCATTTAATTTAATTTTAATTAAAGAGAAGGACAATTGAATTAACTGAGCTAAATATAGTTAGCACATTTGTTCTCTGTGTTTTTAAAATGCTTCCTTTAAAAATGGATGGTGGGGGGTTTGGACTTGCTCCCAAATCTTTGGGGTCGATGCATGTGGTCTTGGGCCACATATTGCATGACCTGATATAAAGAATCATCCCAAAATACCATTGAGTAATTAGGTATTCTAGCAGAGGATTTTTCCCCAGTTCTCCTCCATATTATTGTAACAAAGCACTGTCTGATTGAGTCTATGAGAAAGGATGTTAGAAAAAGACATTTATTTCCTTGGTATATTTTTCTATTTTAAAGATGTTTGCATAAACATGTGTGCATAAAAACCTAACATACGTTTTTTAAAAAGAAAATAACTTGCAAAAATGTATATTTTTAAAAATACACAGAGGTGTAGATATTTGGAGGTGATTTTTATTAAAATTTAAACTAATACAGAAACTGAAGATGGGGAAATGAGAAAATGACCTCATATTAATTTGAAGTTTCATTTATCTTCAAGATAAACAGATTGCATTAATGCCATATTTCTCTCCCCAATCACAGTGTTATAATAATATTTTAAACAGATGTATATTCCGCAGTTCAATAATCTGTTATTTAAAGTCCATGTAATATTTCTTCTTGTTTCTATAGGTGAACCTGGAGCACCAGGCCGGATTACCAGTTCAGGTAATGCTGCAGAAGGAACACTCATTTCTGCTTAATAGCTTTTTTATCCCATGGCAATCTTTCTGCATGCAATTATGTATAATTTTTTTTTAAATTCTCTTTGTTTCAGATGGTGGAGCAACTGTTGCACTTCCTGGCCCACCAGGCCCACCAGGGACTATTGGACCTCCTGGCCCACCTGGTGTACCAGGTGGGTATCTCCTTTCATTCTTGACTAGTTTCTCTTGATTATTTCTGTTGTCTCAGTGGTGGATCAATACACTAGTGTTGAAAAACTGTGATTAACTTTAATAATACTGTTTGACTCTGTTGGCCCTTGATAAAGTAGACAGGGTCCTCTTCAGGGTCCACCACAGTGTCAGTTAGATTCTTGTCCCTCCTGGATGGTGAAAACCTCTAGCACAGTGACTAGCAGGTGAGTTCAGGCAGTGATTAATACATCACTAGAGAAGGGGACATTTCCAGATGCTTTTACGACAACCCTAATTCACCCCCTCCTTAAAAAAAATCACCACTGGATCACACCTGCCTGGAAAACTTTTGTCCAGTTTCCAACCTCTCCTTTTGGGGGGAGATTTTGCAAAAGGTGGTGGCCTGGTAGCTTCAGAGGGTCCTTGATGAAATGGATTATCTGGACCCCTTTCAGTCAGAATTCAGGCCCAGATACAGGATGGAAATGGCATTGGTTGCGCTTCTTGATAATATTTGGCAAGAGCAGGATAGTGCAACCATCCTCTCTCTCCTTGACCTTTCAACACCTTTCAATACCATTGACCATGGTATCCTTCTGGGTTGGCAACGGGCTGGTGTTGGGTGGCACAGTTTTCACTGGTTTGGCTCCTTTTTCTGAAGCCAGTCCAAACTGGTGTTAATAGGAAGGGAGAGGTCCAGCCCTCAACCACTATCTTGTGCCATGCCACAGGGTTCAGTTTTCTCTCCACTTCTTTTTAACATTCACATGAAGATGCTGGGTGAGATCATTCATCATCATGGATTCAGGTATCTGCAGTATGTAGATGATAGTCTATATTCCGCTCCTGGTGACCCAAGTGATGTCATTGCTGCCCTCTTATATTGCCTGGAAGCTGGGGAGGGGCTATACGGGGGACAACAGGCTTTGACTGAACTCTGGCAAGACTGAATGGCTTTGCATGCATGAGGCCCCAAGATATGGGTCCTTGTCCTCTTTGACTCTGGATGGGGTGGCACTACCCAAGTTAGATCCAGTCTGCAACTTGGAAGTTCTCCTGGACTTGCGACTCCTGCTTGAAGAGCAGGTGGTAATTGCAAGTGGGAAAACCTTTGCACAACTTCAGGTTATTTGCCAATTGCAGTCTTTGCTGGATCACACTCATCATTGAGGTCCTAGTCATCTCACAGTTGAACTATTGTAATGCGCTATATATGGGGCTACCCTTGAAGAGCTTTCGGAAGTTACATTTGGTGTAGAGTGCAGCAGTGCAGGCAGTTCTTGGGGCTCCAAGAATGGCCCATGTAATTCCACTGTTCTGCAAGCTGCATTGACCGCCAGTCTGCATCTGGATGCAGTTCAAGGTGTTGGTAATCACCTTTAAAGCCCTTTATGGCATAGGTCCAAGCTACTTGAGGGACCAACTCCTCCCACTGGGATTAGCCCATCCTACCCATGCTGGCAGAAGAGAAATGCTGCAGGCCCCATTAGCCTGATTATTTTGGCTAGCGGGGTCCAGGTGAAGGGCCTTCTCTGCTGTTGCACTTGCCCTCTGGAACATCTTGCCCCCTGGTGTGAGGTCAGCCCCAACCCTCCTGACCTTTCGTAAGAGCCTAAAGACCTCACTTTGGCAGTTAACCTGGTACTCCAATGGGAGAGCATCACAGTGGAGGTGGTTGATTGATTAACAACAGATCCCCCCCTCCTCCACCCTCCCCATCTGTAATTGGATCATAGCATTTGCTTGTATTAACTTATGTTTTTAGTTTATATGTATATTTATTTTTTAGGACTATTAGTAGCCCAGAGTTACCGTGTGGTAAGATGAGTAGCCAATAAATTTTACAAACAAATTCCAGAGTGTAGGAGTGCGAAGTATCTTGTGTAAGCATCCAAAACAGTTAATTTGCTTAGATAGGCCATAGGTACATTGAAGCTTTAAATTATTAAAAAATAGTCCATTCCGTTTTTACAAATGATAGTGTCAAAAGTTCTATAGTTGTCTGTGTGAAGCAAATTCCTTTACATTTAAAAGTCCAACTTTTCTCCCTTTATGGAAGAGATCCCAAAAAATATTTCTGCACATCATTTTGTTTAAAGTTGAAATAGCCAAGTGGAACCTTTTCATTCAGACACCTTCCTTTTTCGTCACTTGTTAGAAACAAATACTGTTTTAATAGAAGGAAATGAGAGAAAACACAAATTGTTGTATTGTGAGAGCATGGAATGTGAAATTGAAACCTGTAAAAAATGAATTGTATCTTGCAGACGCAATAATTATTTAACAGGCTACTTGGTTTTCCTTCTTGAAGATGAGATATAGTTGCTTCATTTTTAAGAACAGTAGTTCAGTTTTATTTCTTTCTTCAGGTCCTGTTGGCCCAGCTGGTCTTCCTGGAGCTCAAGGTACTAATTACATTTTTGAAAATACAACATTGCGTCCTTTCTTTTCTGCCAAGATACTCTTATTGTGGTGGGGGTTTTTTTTAGACTGCCTTGATCAATGTATTTAATATTTCCTTATATTTTATGCTTTTTGTTTCTTTCTTTATGATTTCAGCCTTGTCCTTTTACTGCTTGGAATAGTCCTATCTGCATTATGCAGTGAATCAATACTGCTCTGAAAGTGTTTTTTGTGTAACACTTTAGAATCGAATAGAACAGAGTTGGAAGGGACCTTGGAGGACTCCTAGTCCAGAGGTCTCCAACCTTTCCGGGCTCACGGACTGCAGGGAAGGAGAGCAGCTTTAAAATTGGGGTGCGTGCACGTGCACGGGGCCACACACATTGGTGCAGCACTAGCAGCCCCATTTGCACATGCGCTGGTGCTATGTGCATGCGCAAATGGCTGCACACACCCCTCAGCGGGTAGCGGCACATTCGTGCATGCGCAAACAGGCTACGGACACTTGCCCCATGCTAGCATCCCCATTTGCGCCTGCGTGCAAGCACAAACGGGGCCGCAGGGGCTAGCGAGAGTGGGGGGAATGCACGCCCACATGTGCGCGCACCTGCCAGCCATTTCCACAGCTTGCTGACCAAGAGCCCGCAGCCTGGTCCCGGGCCGCAGCCCATAATTTGGGAACTCCTGTTCTAGTCCAACCCCTTGTAATAACTTTGAGCATCTAGCAATAGCACTTAGACTTATATACCGCTTCATTGTGCTTTACAGCACTCTCTCAGCGGTTTATAGAGTCAGCATGTTGCGCTTCAAAATATGGCTCCTTCTTTTACCGACTACAGTATGGATGTCCAATTTTTTAGCTTGCCGGGGCCTCATGGAGTGAAGAAAAATTGTCTTGGGCCATATATAAAATATACAATATAGTTAATGTATATGAAACACATAATAATGTTAAAAGTTTATGATCTTATGGGGCCGCATTACTAACTGTCCAAGGCCACATGCAGCCCTTAGGCTGTGGGTTGGACACATCTGATCTACAGTGTTCTTATTGCTGTTGCTGAATTCGCTGGCACTTCTTGCTATCATTACTATTAGTTTATGTTAGCAGGGGATGCCACTTATTAAGATCAGTTGGAGAGTCTCTCCATCACATGTCACCAAAATATGAAACATAAGCACAGATGCAAGTAGACCCATCCTCTGAGCCCATGGTCTCAGTTTGGAGAAACATATTGAGGAAGACCTCCTAATCACCCTCTGGTAGATTTTTCTCTCCCCCTCCACCCCCTCTTCATTTTGTGAAGACCTCTCTTTCTTGCCTGCTGAGCCAACAGATGTTTCAATAGCAAATTCTGAAATTCTGCTGCATTTCTGCCTTCTCTAAAACTCATAATTGTTTGTTTTATTATCTTTTTTATATTTGCTATAAATAACCTTGAGTTATTCTTAAAAGGTTTGCCAGAGTATAGGTGTTTTAGAAATGAAAGTATTGTAATTTTTTTTAAAATGTAAAGTTGGATATTAAATAGCGTCATTTCCACATACAGCATGCAAATCATCTATTCTATACTTTTCTGAAATGATTCTCAGAATCCTTGAGAATCCCTCTGAGTTCAGATGATAAGGTGGAAGCTTGCAAAATCCAAATTACACTTCTGAGGAACGCTTTGCCCTGCTAAGACCCTGCAAACCCATGCTTGGATAATTAAGGAATGTGGCATTTTTCATGTTCTGATGCAGGTCCTCGTGGTGAGAGAGGCATTCCAGGTGAAGCCACCTTTGTTGAAACCGCAAATCCTGCAGTTGCTCCGCTGGAAGGTAGAACAGGTTTTTTTTCTGATAGACATAAATGTTCTAATAGTATTGAGAATAGCAAAGAGATGGATTATGCCATTAGGATGTTAACTATGACTCCCCAGATTCCATAATCATTAAGAATCTGGCTTTCTCTTTCCTATTCTTCCTACTCCTCATGATCAACTGCTTAAATTACAAAACAAAACAATTGACAAAGCAATTTATTGATGATTTAATGATTGGAAGTATTGCATATCAGTTTAGTATACTGTATGGATGAACTGGATGAACTGACAGTATTTTCATATAATTATTACTTCCAGCTAAGATGAAAGTCTGCAGATTCTGAAGTATAAATGTCTCAGGATCAAAGAGAATAAGCTTTATCTGAGATGCTTTAAATTCAGCTTATCCAAGTTGATTTGTTCAACTACAGCTCCTATTTTCTTCAGCCAACATGCCCATTATTCATATTTTCTGGCAATTAGGAAACCATAGTCATGGTTACAAATTTTGGAGAACAAATTACGTTCTGCCTCCGCCCACTTCCACAAGTTCTGTAGAGGATCATGTTGCCTGCCTGACCAAGACAAATGGTATCATCTGACTATTACAGTAGTCAGTGCTATGTCCCCCAAATATCATACTGCAGTATAAATGACTAAAACTCAATTTGTACTGTTAGTATTTGTACTTAACTGAATGTGCCTGCTGCTCAGGAAGAATAAAAAGTTTACACCTGTGGTGATAGGCCAGTACATCTGAGGACCACCAGATTGGGAAATTGCTTTGATTCTTTTTTAATGTGTTTTCATCTCTAAAACATATCTAATATTTAATTTGTACAATGAAAACAGTAACTCCACTTACCTGTTTTGTCTAGCATCAAAGCTTAGAGGACCTGCAGGACCCCCAGGACTACCAGGTCCACCAGGACCCCCAGGTATATACTTTCTATACATAATGTTTAAAAAATGAAGAGGAATTAGATTGTAAGATGAAGCATGCTTTAAGTCCTCCAATGGAAGCATGGCTTACCATATCTTAGAGATAAATTCAGTTGCTACTGTATTTCTGAGAAAAAAAAACAAAGCTAGAAGTTTTCTAGTTGTCCTAAACCTTATTTCTTAATAGTTGTAGTTTATTGTAGGCCTGATTCTCTCTCTGTGTGTGTGTATGCGTGTGTGTGTGTGTGTAATTCTATTTGGTAGAAGTGAAAGTTGAGCTGCTATAATCCCAAATATCTTTGTAGAAGACCAGGCAGTGTTTTATCTGAATTCAAGGTAACTGTTTTCTTTCCATTTAACAGGTGCCTCTGTTGAGGGCCCTCCAGGACCCCGTGGCCCACAAGGTAAAAAATATTTTCACAGAATCAACACATTCATAATGCTTTCAACACCTGTGCTAACTTCAAAGACAAATTGCAATCAATTCATACCAATATGTCCTAAGCACACAATAGATGCTTTCTCTGTTTTAGTTGCACTGGAATAGATTAATGAAGTCTGTAATCAAAAAGTAATGAAGAGTTATAATATGAACCCCAAACAGCAGAGCCAGATGTACCTAAATGTGTCTTTTTTAAATAAATATTTTATTAATTTTCTAATTTTACAATCATAAGTACTTAATAAGCAACGTGTTGTCTGGGTCTATTAGTAATTCAGTGGTGCATATTAACTTTCTCAGTTTAGTCCAATACTACACCATCCAGTGCTTCCTTGGTCCTCTCTTCTTCCGGTAGTATGCATTTTTCCATACTGGGCAAATACAATTCTTGTTACTGTTAATACATATACAATGAAATATAGACATCTTCATCACATTTTTCTGGTATTATACATAATATCGATAGTATCAATTTATAATATCTTTTCTAGCCAAAATATATCTCAATTCCATTTGCACTTAAAATCCATTTATTCAATCAATATCCTATTTTTCCCGCTTTTTTTTAAAAAAAATACTCCCATCAATGTTCAAAATATCTCTATTGCTTATGATTTTCTCATAATAAAATATATTTGGATAACCAAAAGCTTCCCTTATTCAAACCCTCTTAGAATTTTCATATTTCTTATCTCATAACAAAGTATAATATTCTAGTTGCAAATCCTATCCTCCTAATTATAATAATACTTTTATTTCTAACAATTATCTATTTTCTTAGCTATGTTCAAACATCTGTTTAGTAGTATAATATCCCATCTAATAAGTCAGAACCTCTATTTTCTTCAGTCTTACTCTAGCTTTCTTTCTTTGCCAAATAGCTTTCCAAGTCAGTACATTTAAATCATCAAGTAGTTCTTCCTCTGTTTTTGTATATATTGTTTGGAACGAGGAAAAGAATTTGGTTGAAGTGTTTTTGGAAGAACGCACAACCCATTTATATTCATTAAACAGCCTCCATCCTTCTCCTTCAGTTTTTCTTTTATTTCTTGTTTGACAATATTCAGCATTTCTCCTAACAGCTTTATCATCCATTCGATCAGCTCTTCTTCCTTATCCTCAAATGTGTTCTGAGCTCTTGACAAGTACGATGTCTTTTCATTTCTGGTGTTATCATTGCATCTTCTAATTTTTCATTTGTCTGTATCTGTCTGTTAATTCCTTCCTTTAGGTCCTCCATCTTTGGATCTGTTTCTTCTAATTTTCCTTCTGTTTTCTGGGTTATTAGTTCCTCTTTGCAGTCATTGTCTGGATTTGTAAGTTTAGGTTAGAAAATTGTTCTTTTATCTCATTTGAGTTATTTTTAGTCTCATCCTGAAATAAAACAATTGTCTCTTGGATTGATTTCAACATGGAAAGAATTTCTTTCTGAGATTCATTAACATTTTCTTGTTGATATATCATGCTGGGACCTTTGGAGACAGGTGTTGAAGATGATTTTTTACCATTTAAGGCTGAGTATGGAACACTCATTTTGTTTTTGTATATAGTCTTTATAGTCCAGTAGGGTCCCCAACCCAGATAAGCAGCCCAAGAGTTTTTGTTTTTCCCTTTTCCCAGCTGCAGTCTGCAAAAGTGAAAGTGTCCAGGAACAACAAAGAGTCTTATCTGAGTCTGGGCTTCAAATCGGGTTTCCCTTAAGCATAATAAATTGTAGTGCCATAATTCTCCACTAGATGTCGTTAACACCGTCTTCCAGCTTTCCAAATCCAAGCTTATTTTGCAAACTTTCAAATATTTTTTCTAAATAAAAAAGTCTCAAAGGTGCTTTTAGTCCCCAAATTTCAAAGCTATAGATCTGTATTAGTTCCAGATTGATCTTGTAGATTCCTGTTTTCTCCCAAAGCAATTAATTCATCGCTTTTCTTTTCCTGAGGGAGCAGGGCAATAATTTCCCTTCGCTCTCTCATCGAGGAGGATTCTTTGCTTTGGGCATTCTTTTTTCCAGGAAAGTAGTGTTAGGGCCATAAAAAGAGGATAAAGTCTCACCAAGTTCCATCCATTGCTAGTTAGTGCTTGTCTTCGGTTGTCAGCAGCTTCTGACTGGCCACTCAAATATAGCCAGTCTTTCCCCTGCAGGTTTGGAGGGCTTCCTCAGATCCAGCAGAAGGGCCGCCGCCCCTCCACGATTGATGAGAGTCCCCCCCTTTGTCTCTTCAGGGCGACTTTCGATCCTTTTTAGGGTCCCCAGCAGGGAAAAATCAATCGTGGAAGATGGAGCCCCATCTTCCTGCGCCCGTTACACTGCGACATCAAAGTCCTCCCTAATGTGTCTTGAGCTGCCGTAAAACAGTCACATCTCTATTGTGCTTCCTATAAAAATAAATTGAATTATCTTTCATAGAGATGTATGTACTAATTAGCACTGATACATTCAAATATTTCTATTACTTAGGAGAAGGCTTACCAGGCCCACCAGGAAGACCAGGTTCTTTTGTGCCCACATCAGGTAGGTATTTTCATTTGATTTAGAAGTTCCCATTCCCATCCTATACCAATTATAATTGCTACAATCCTGGAGCAACTATTATAAGTGCTTCGACACAAGTAAGACAAGCTTTACATTAACAAGAGACTTCTGACCAGTAAAGAAAGCCCAGGATTCTGTACCTGTGTCTTGATTGTTGTTGAAGATCATAATGATGTTCTTTTATTACAGAAACTTTCTTTGCTGGCCCACCAGGACCCCCTGGTCCTCCAGGTCCAAAAGGAGATCAAGGTGAGTAATTTGAAATCTGTTTCTTGAGTATAGAAAATGATTAGATTGGGAAAGCTGATGCTGCAAAGGTGCCAAAGCTACAATAAGGTAGAGCTGATTTTTAGCCTATGTAAAATCAATGTAAAACTGGCTGGATGGCTGGCTGGATAGATGGATGGATGGTTGGTTGGTTGGTTGGATAGTTGATGGAAGGAAGAAGGAAGGAAGGAAGGAAGGAAGGAAGGAAGGAAGGAAGGAAGGAAGGAAGGAAGGAAGGAAGGAAGGAAGGAAGGATTACAATGATGGAACAAATGAAATGTTGCTTTTAACACTATTTATGTGTTGGTTATGATACATTAAGCAGATACTCCCTTGAATCTAAGTGTTCATCTCATATCCAATAAAACAGGACCAGCTGTTCTCAATATTCCTTAAATACCTTTTTTATTATTTATTTCACATAATATACCTAGATGTTAAACTTCAGAAGTTATTCTGACAATATGGTATACCTTGCAGTGAGGCTGCACCCTATGACGTAATTCAGCCTTCCCTGTTAGCAAATAAGTTATCCCTTCCTTTCATTCAGACATGTTTAATCTCACTCAGGTTATTGGCAGCTACTCAGGTCACTGCTAGTATTTGATAGACTGGTAGAACCAGATTCTCATCTAGATAGAATGTCATGCTATTTGGCAGGAGTCATTAGTACAAAGTAACTGAATGTTCATGCATAAATACAGGCAACAGAAAATATGTCTCCCCTGTAAACCATACTTCTTTAAGCACCATCAGTACCAACAAAAAGAATGGAAATTGAAACTGATGAGGAATATCTGTGCCAATAGCAGTGACGTTGGCCAAATAAATCCTGTGAGAGTGCCCTCTGCATAAGCACTGCAAGTCTAATAAATCTTTTCATTTGCAGGGTTGCCTGGCCCACGAGGATTCAAAGGTAATAAAAAAATGAGGGATTTGTTCATTGGATGGAATGAAAAGGCAGTAATGTGGTCATTGTCAAGTTAAATGATTGTTCAACTTTCTCATAGGTGAACAAGGTCAGCCAGGTCTACCAGGAGCCTCTGTTCAAGGTGAGTCTAAATGTATGTTCCTTCCTTTCCAGGATTTTACAACATAGTCCTTTACATTATTACTGTAATTTGTAACCGATGACTTAACATTAGGTCATAATCTAGCATATTTTATATTGGCAAACCTGTGTTGGTAAATGTTGGTGCATAGTCAATAAGGAAATAAGCCTATTCTGTCACCTTTAGGAGCATATCTGTATTGGAGGTATATCTTTTCAAATGTGGGCTTTACCTAAAACATTTAAGGCGTAAAACATAATGATACAACAACCTACATGCATAGTCCCAGTTCTCCTTCAATTCTCTTTGATTTCTTCCCATCTTTTTTAGCAGGAACTGGCATTGCTGTCCAAGGACCACCCGGACGTCCTGGACCTAAAGGAGACAAAGGTTTGTGCAAAGAGAGGCGGCTGTTTCCACAGAGCACCTTATCAGAGTCTTGAATTCCAATTGGTAGAGACTGTGCCTCTGATACTGTGTGAACATTCTCATTTGAAGTTGGCTGTGAAGTTTTTTAAAAAAATAATGTTTAAAATGATATAAATAATTTTAGTTTCTCATTTGAGAATCTCATTTGGCTCCTATTTTTCTTCAATAGGACAATAAAGATTGTTCTATCCTGAGAAACAGAGTAATGGTGTTATATAAATGAAGAGTCATCTTTTGGAGTTACATAATGGACCATTTTGTTCTTCCCATTAATTTTTTTTAGGTGATGCAGGTGTACCAGGAGCGCCTGGAATCCCTGGAGGAGGTAAGGAACCCTATTTTATTTAGAATATAAATTTGCATGGAATGTAACTCTTAACGATAAGGGATTCTGCAAGGGTAAATGCAATTTGAGTTTTAATTTCTCCGAGAAGTTTGTATGTGAATATCAGTGCCATACAATCCTACCAGGACATACTATCCTGAAAGTGAACTGTCCTGATTAGTCATATTCTTAATTTATCTAAACATCATGCCTTGAAAATAGAGGTGGAGTTATTTTTGCACAGTAGCTGTAATAAAATTTAAAAACTCAGTCTAATGTATCTTTTGGAAGCTCAGAAGCATCAGCTTGCTATATAGAAAACCCTTACCCAGAAGTGAACTAAATAAGCAGTAGAATTAGACATTCAAATTCATGACCATGGTCCTTGCTGGCATGGGTGCAAGAAAGACTGTGTCCTTTCCCCAAATAAACACTGCAAATCTGGCCTAGATTTGCTTCATGTAATTGATCAGATTCAGATTAACCAAGAGGAAGTGCAAAGGGCTGATTCTCTGCACTGGCATACCGACATACCCAAATCTTTTCCCTATGATTTTTTTCTTTTTATCCCTTTATTTCCATGGGCACTTTAGGTAGGGTAGGTAGGGGAAATTTATTTTTATTACTTATTATTAAATTTATTTACCGCCCATCACATCGTGGTGCTACTCTGGCTCCTTACAAAAATGGACATAAATATAACAATAATGTGAATTGTGAATATGAATGAAAATATGGCTTTGGAGGGAGTAGGATGCGTAGAGGAAATCCATTAAAGAGAACACCAAAAGCTATTATAAGTAAAGTAACTTTTTTCTACAGCTGGATCCAGAATTTCTCAGGGCCTTCCAGGTCCCCCGGGCCCTCCTGGACCTCCAGGAATTGGAATTGGCTCAATGCAAGAGATCCAACAGTACGTCTCTGAGTACCTACAGAGTAAGTACATACACTGGTTTTACATGGCTTTCCCACAAAAATCTCCCACATTGAACACCTTGAGATCAAAGGCAATTTTGACCACTTTCCTAAAGGATAAAAAAAGTGGTAGTTTATAACCTCAGGAAGCAAGCTGTTCTAAAGTGTGAAGATCAAACCGGAGAATGTCATTCCCTGACTCCCAACCTCCAGGATATCTTTAGACCTGGGTATCTTCTCCTAGCTAGATTATATACAATGGGCAGATAGTGCCTGGAAAAAGGGCTCCCAGAAGTTGCATATGATATGTATGATATCAGAGGTGGAAAAATTATACACTGTAATTTTTGAAAACGAGTGTCAGATGAGATTAGATCTAATATGGTCCACTCCTCTGCATTTGGAAAGAAAAAACCTATACAACCTATTTCCAAAAGATAGAGTAGCATACTGTATGTGTAGACCTGCCCTTTCTTGTTTTCATTTTCTCTTTACAAGGAAAATTTAAATGGGGAGGGGAGAATAACATTTAAAAATATGACTTTATCTCTAAAGTCTGAGAGCTGTAGTAAAGAATTTTACTCCCTTTATTACCACTTCCTTTAATACAAAGCATGGATTGAGTCATATTTTTTACAAATTCCAAGTCACAAACAACCCTTCCCACATATAGGTCCTTAGTTTTCTTTTGACAAGGAAAAGAGAATTGACCAAGAGAAAAACTTGTTTTCAAGTTTCTGTTTTGAAGTATCATTTTATCATGTTTCCTTTCCTAATTAGCAATTAGATTACACCTCATCTGCCAAGTTTTCACTGTGGGATATGTATAACTTAAAGTACAGAAATGTTTTCCACAACATGCATTTCACAACAAGGATAATGATCCATTCATTTAATTGGTCTTGCTATATGATTCTTCCCAAGTAAGTGAGAAAAATATAAATTGATCTTCCTCTTATTTGGGTATCTTATAAATGCCTACAGACACAATTGGCATGGCTAGTAGTTAGAGTTAGATGGGTATAACAATAAAGGACATCTTGTTGAGGAAAGATGAGCTGCACTTATATGCCACATAAACAATTCTTATAAGTGAAAACAGCATGTCAGGAACTTAGAATCTGGATTCCTAAATACTCTAGTCAGGTTTTTCTTGAATCTGAGTTAGCAGCTAATTCTATAAGAATGCTGTGGAAAATTATCTTTACAATTTCCCTAGATTATACTGATAGAGAACTAATCCATCTCTGTAGTGATTTAACTTTGCTTTTTAAAAATTTTCTTATTAGGTGATAGTATTGGCCGTTACCTGATTGGACCACAAGGCCCACCTGGTCCTCCAGGACCTCCAGGAATCACCATTGGTGGCGAATCTTTGGACTATGGTGAATTGGCCCGTCGTGTTATGAGCTACCTATCCAGTAAGGCCCTCTTTTTTATATATACTAAGTTTGCATTTCTTTAGTTATTCTTCATATTTACACATGAAAGTACAGAACTGATCTTTCTGAGATATATAAATTATTTGAGCATTGCTATCACACTGAAGTTGTGTGGCTTGCTTCTTCTCAGTGCCTGTAGTTGAATCCCAACAGTGTCCTTTTTACATAGTGGAAGTTTATCAGGAATAGGAAATAATTTTAATGTGTTGAATAGATTATATTACCACACTGATGCACTTCTATCAGATAGTTTAGGTCCTGTTTTCTCATCATCATCTGCTTTCTTTGCTATATGTTGGAAATAATTGTACGTGTCTTAGTTTCTTTGTGAATTTACAGTTTATGTTTTTGAATATTTTTCTTTCTCTAGCTTCCAGCTCCACCTCTTCTCTCTCTTCATTCTCTTCATCACTGTCTTATGAAAATCTGCTTGCCATGCTCCAGAGTAAGTAAATGCTCTAAGGCTAGTAAGTGGTTCATTGGCTTTTATTGCCATGCATGTTAAAGAAATAGAGAAAAGTGCTATAAAGAACAAGATTGTCTCTGAATTATTTGGTGTCAATATCATAGTTACATCTACTGTAGACTTAGGCATAATTAGAGCTTAATTGAATGGTTCTAAAAGCATAAGAACATTGCTGGATTAGGCCATTTTGTGTCACAAATACCCAAGTGGATGCATTAGGGAAGCCCACAAGGCTGGAAAGAGAGTGAGTTCCCTCTTCATCTTTTGTTTCCCAGCCATCAGTATTTAAAGTATGCTGCCTTTGATTGAGGAGGTAATAAATAGCTTACATTATCAGTAGCTTTGACATCCTGATTTTTCATAAACTATCCAGTTTCACTGCCATTACATTTATTGGCAATAAATTCTACAACTCTAGATTAACTGTAGGTAACAAAAACTATACTGTAGCTAACAAAATTTAATAAGTGCTGGTTTTTTTCCTATTGGTCCTGAATTTCTCTGTATTTATTTTCAGTAGATAAATAGTAGACAAATTCTGTGAAAGAGGGAAACATATTTTTTTCATGTTTTCCATGCCATGCTTTATTTTAAATAAGTACATATGTCTCCCTTTAAACTCTGTGGTATTTATCATTGCAGCATGAAATAATCTCCAAATGAATGTTGAGCTCACACAAATTTTATTTGGCTCAGCAAAATTCAATAAAATAAAACTTACAGTTTTCACCAAATTTTCAAGACAGCGAGCAGGAAATATAAACAATGTTGGATATACGAGAAACAAAATTAAACATACTGTATTTATTAAGTTTAAAGGATCATCACATTTCATATTCCTTTGTTCGAAGCTGAAGTACATCAAGCTATCTTATGTATAACAAGTCTAGTCCTAACTAAAAAAAAACTAGAATCAGTGGAGAAAACATTTCTAGAAGTTGAAAAATATAAAGTGTGTTAAAGATGGCCAGAAAGCTACCTATACTGTAAATATTGCTGGTTTGGGAAAAACTGAAAACTCAGAAAAATAAACATTGCCTTTTTTTTTTTTTAATCCATTCTTTAGGAGAGGACATTCGATCATACCTTATTGGACCTCAAGGTCCCCCAGGTGCCCCTGGGCCACCTGGACTGGGAGGAGACAGCTTAGCTTTGTCAATGGACTATGATGAGTTGACAAGACGTGTTATCAACTACATGACAAGTAAAGTCTTCTTTCATAACAAGCTTTATAACAAGCATAGCGATTCCATTGCATGAGTGATTTTCTCAATTACACACCATGAATGATAAATGGAAAGCTCTGTACTGTTCATTGTAATCCCATTAGAAAAGTCAATTGCCAGATACTCTGTAGGAATGTAATAATATCTCAACCAATTGTTGTTACCTGTATTTGTTACGGTATCAGTTTCTCTCACTATAATGAAGTTGTCCTAGGGTAGCCAACATTGTGGAAACTATTTTGAGTTAGTTTGCAATATCAACAAAATAGACACTGGTCAAAATGTGTTCATGCATATTCCATGTTTCCCATATACAGTATTTGGCAGGGATGGGGGGGCACATAAAGACCATTTTGTTTGGATGAGACACTAATGTAATCAATCTGAAAGTATATTTATATATTTTAAGTATCTTTCGTAATTTACTGCTTACCAAAAGTATTGTAGAAAATACATAAAATCATTGATTTCAATTTGCACTAAACCATCCACTTGTGGATACATTTAATTTGCAGAATGGCTCTGGGACGAGGGAAACATTGATCATTTGAATTTTTTTTTTCAGGATTTAAGAATCTGAGGCAGTTATTTTTAAATCTGTTTACAAATGCCTTTCTCCTTCTCCATACTCCTTATTATATATGCATGCATTCAATCAATTATTTTGGTCAGATCTGCATCTTCAGTATATGATTGGAATATATTCTTGGAATCAGAAAACTGAAGTGGTGATTGTAACCTTGAGACGAATCATCGGACTGAAATTTGACAAGTTATCAATAACTATAAGAGTTAAAGCAGCTTGTAGTTTTAATCATATATAATTAACCAAATTTTTAAAAAGAATATAAAGGTTTTTTTTCCCCTCTTACAAGGGAAACTAGTCTCAGATATGGCAAAATCGAGGCAAATTTCAAAGTGTGCTTCAAGGCAATTGCTCCTAACTCTATTGTAGTAGTCAAAGCAGGTTTTCAAGATAATAAGGAAAAACAGAATAACAGAGTTGGAAGGGTCCTTGGAGGCCTTTTAGTCCAACCCCTTGCTCAATCCTATACCATTTCAGACAAGAGGCTGTCCAGTCTCTTCTTAAAAGTTTCCAGTGATGGAGCACCCACAACTTCTGAAAGCAAGCCGTTCCACTGGTTAATTGGAAAGGAAATTTCTCCTTAACTCTAGGTTGCTTCTCTCCTTGATTAGTTTCCATCCATTGTTTCTTGCCTTCCGATGCTTTGGAAAATAGGTTGAGCCCTCAAATATTGGAACACTGCTATCATGTTACCACTAGTCCTTCTTTTCATTAGACTGGACAAACCCAATTCCTGCAAAAATACAATAGGTGGTAGGAAATTGTTAGATGATTTGAGATTTTAGTTTACTTCTATAACATTTCAAAATCATGAAAGGCTGATGTGGAGGCTTACTGTGTTTCCCTGAAAATAAGACCCAATCTCTTTTTTCCCCTCCAAAAGAGGCACCAGGTCTTATTTTCAGGGGGGGGATGTCTTTTACACTCACCTCCAGCACTTACAGCCCCACCCAGCCGGCCCACTTCTTCTGCAGCTGAAGGAGCAGCTTCATTCTGCAGCTGAGAATGGAGCCTGCATTTTGCAATCAAAGGCCTTTCTGAAAGGCCACTGCAGTCGAGAATCGAGATATGGATTCAATCTGTAGCTCAGTTCTTGGCTCCAGAGGCCTTGCAGAATCAAGCTAACGATTGAATCCATAGCTTGGTTCTCTGCTGCAATGGCCTTTTGGAAAGGCCTCTGACTGGGAAATGCGGACCTGGAGATGCCACAAAAGAAGTGGACCCATGAGGAGAGGCCTGGCTGCCAGGTAGGTGAGTGCACGGTGTGTGGGGCAGCTCCACAACCCCACCCCAGCTTGATTTTTAGGTGTGTGCCTCGCCCAAAAACTAGGGTTTATTTTTGGGATAGGACTTATATTAGACTCACCCCCAAAAATCAAGCTAGGGCTTATTTTGGGGGTAGGTCTTACTTTTGGGGAAAGATGGTATTTAGTCCAATCATTTGTGATAAGAGTAAAATGCCTCCTGAAACTAATTTGTATCTTTTGTCCACATTCTATGATTAAATCAATATGAATGTTAGATGCATATATTTTATGAGGAAATATATAACATGGCTCCTTCCAGTTTTCTCACATAATTTCATTGCTCGTCTTTTATTATTTTTTTAGGTTCTGGAACTACTATTGGACTTCCTGGACCAGCTGGTCCTCCTGGTCTGCCAGGAACATCTTATGGTGATATCTTAACTTTGCTTCAAGGTGAGCCTTGTCATCCTATCATACCATCCTAAAAAATCATCCTCATAGTTGAACAGCTGAAGGATATGCATATTAAAGTTTCCTCTCTTGATTTCCTTACAATAACTACACGTCCATTATCACCCACCTTGAATTTGCCATCTTTGATTCTTTCTCTCTGCAGTTCAAACATCTAGGTTTCTGTTATTGTAATTGAAGCAGATAGCAGAAAAATTCAGCTCCACCTCATTGATATGTTACATATTGCTAGAGAATAAGTTGAGTATTTAAGCCTATTTTTCACTTGATAGTGGAAAATGGAAACAGCAAGGGGCACATGTGAATGAACTATAAAAATGCTATCAGATATGGCATTTCCAGTATCGTATTCATTCTTACAGGTTCCATAACTTCAGCATAAGAATGTGAGGTCCTGAAATATTTACCATGATGTAGTGGATTCTTCTGTTCTATCCTCACTTCCTTAAATGAAGAACTCCAACCTTTCTGATCAGATTTCTTAATTTTGTTGGCATAGTTGCCCAAATTGGCAGCAGAATTCTATAATTTGGAGTCAGAGACATGACTATCATAGTATGGTTGCTAAAATAATCTATAAAGCAACAAAAAAACCAACATCTCAAACAATTTTTTAAAAAATGAAAAGTCCCATCTGTGTATAAGATGGCTTCATTCATTTTGCATCATTATTATTAAGAGTCTATGGAGATTCTCAGTCATCCAGGTCATGGTTGTCTCAAAGGTGCTTTTTCACAAGGCAACTGGACTTTCTTTTTTCTCTTTAAAGATGTTTTGCTTCTTGGATGAGGGATTCATTCAGGGATTCATCCAGTCAGAGCTGAAGAAGCTTCTTGGATGAGAAGCGAAACGTTTTTAAAGAGAAAAAAGAAAGTCTAGTTGCCTCATGAAAAAGCACCTTTGGGATTATTATTAAGACCATTCCCCTTTAAAAAAATACACGCAGCAAAAGATTGTCTATTCTTTACTCTATAGTCAACTAATTGAATGGGGTATTAGAGGAGTGTTTTTATCTATAGGCAACAGTGATTTTGCCCTGGTGGATATGTAAATGAGTATGAAGTGGTGTGTTTATATGTGGGTTGGAGAAGAGAGCAGGAAAAGCAATAAGTCAGATGCTAGTATTATTTACTTCCTTTGTAATTTCAGATTCAGAGTTCAGAGGCATTGTGGGACCACCTGGACCTCCAGGCCCCCCAGGAAGACCAGGTAGCTCTGTTTCCACCTTTACTGCAGAGGATATCTCCACATATCTACAAAGTAAGAAAAGTTGATATACGTTGTGTTTGGTTGGCTAGATCAGTGTTTTTCAAATAGGCAAGTTTAAGATGTGTGGACTTCAATGTCTAGAAGTTCCCAGGCAGAAAATTCCCAGCATGCTAGCTGGGGAATTCTAGAAGTTGAACTAGTTTTCCTGAAATCAAGATTTCCAATTCTCAGGTTTAATCTGGTCCATCAGATCAGTACCTCTGATGCAAAAGAATTAAAAGAGAAAGAATTAAAATTAGCTGAGGGAATTCTGGAAGTTGAAGTCTACCCATCTTGAAAGTTGCCAAATTTGAAAAATGCTGGATTTAGATGCTAAGATATAAGGCTTCTGAAGAGGAAAAGTTTCTGTAATTTTACAGGGCAGATAAGATAATCTAGGGATGGTGATAGCACAGAATTTGAGTAGTTAATATGACCAAATAGCATAGTGGATAAATCAGTCTGGAAAGTCTACTCGGGTTTCCACATAAATTTTTTAAAAGGTAAAAAACTGCTAACAGAACTATATTGATATCTGTTTTAGGGCAGATCTACTTTTCTAAGAATTGCAACTGTCATGGCGTACAGTAATATTTAATGTTATTGTTTCAAGTGATAATTGATTTTTTTCTAGAAATTGTGCTTAGATGTAACTAGTAGAACCTTACCTCCAGACTGAATCAAAACATTTAAAGATAATTAAAAAAAATGAAATTAGTATTGAAAATGTTGTGATATTGTTTAAGAAAAAAAAGCCTTTTGTATATGTGCTTTTAAGTCAGTGTTTGATTCCTAGAAACTGCCTCCAATTTTGTAGGCAAGATTTCATAAGTGGTTTGCCATTGCCTACTTCCTGGATCTCAGAAAGAATGACTGGCCCAAGGTCATCAGCTTTTTTCATGTTTAGAACTCACCATCTTCCAGTGTCTAGCTGTCTTACCCACTATACCAAAGTAGTCCTCAATACCTTTTTAGCAAATATTTATATGAAAATTACATTCTGATAAAATTATTGTGAAGAAATCCCTGTTTAATATCTGATTAAAATTAAGGCAGTAAGTTTGGAGGAACATGATATACTTACGTACTCAGAAGTAAATTCATTGAGTTCAGTAGGACATAATCCAGAATATGATTGAAGTCATAGTATAGTGGTACTTTAGTACTCAATTACTTTGAAACTCATTGAATTTGATACTCAACTCATTTTGACTGGAAATTTTTTTCTGATACTTGTTATTTGTTTGATACTCAACGTACAAGCTAGAACTTGTCATTGTTGGTTGCCTCATGACTTGCTATATTTTCCAGCCGAAACAAAGGGTGACATGTTAGTCACGCAATAGCTCTTGCCCTGTGCACATCCTCTTTGTGTATTTTGTGCTTTTTTTTCTCATCAGTACAGGTAAAGTGAAGTTTTTATTTTATTTATTTTTATTTAATCTGAGTATCCATCAATTTTTAGTTTATTTTTGAGGTAAAGTAATAATATATCACCCTGTCTTCTTACATATTGTCTTTGGTATTACATATTGTCTTACACAATGTCTTTGGTTTGGGAACACATTAAATTTATTTACATTATTCCTTATGGGAAAAATTTGTTTGGTACTCATCATTTTTGGTACTCATTGTGCCTCCCAGAACCAATTAACAACAAGTACTGAAGTACCACTGTATATTATAAATTTCACAGAATATAGTGGAATTTACTTCAGAGTTATTGTTTTTTTGACTATGGTTTTAGAGTCTATGAAATATCATGGGAAAGAGAGAAGCAGAACACAGAACAGAGAGCTAAATTTAAAGCTTTAATGGCTAGTCTTAAATAAACCTCGTCCTTACTCTTATGAAAAATAAGATGCCTCTTTTTTAATTAAATAGTTTATTCTTTTCTTTTCAAGGGATGGGATATTCCTTGGGTGCTGGTCCCCCTGGGCCACCAGGTCCCCGAGGCCCCCCAGGACCACCTGGCTTTTCAGGAACTGGCCTTATCTCTACTGAGGATGGAGTTTGGACTGACCAGTTCAGGAGTGAATTGATCCAATACCTTACAAGTAAGCATATGGCTCCTTCTGCAGTTTTATTCAAGATTTGGACTTCATCCTGGTTCATGATATGATTGATCTCAGAGTTCTTTGGGGTTTCAAATCAGATTCTTGTGTGACAATCACATTTATCCTAAATTTAGTTCAAGAAAACATTAAAAGAATAAACAGTGCACATTAAATGTCAAATTAACATACTGAACAACAACAGAAGAACACAAGGTTCAAAAATAAATTGCAGATGCCATGGGGTTTATTTTCCAAAGAAAGGTGAGAAACTTGGGTTACTCTGTGTTTAAACAGTTTTGTTTAAAAACATGGACTTAATTAATATTTATTCATATCCTTATTTATATATTTTTAAGATAAAGTACACTTTTAACATGAATGCAATTATACAGCAACATAAATTCATACATACAAAGGAATGTATATTCTGCATGGCCACAGTTGGAAAATACTCTTAATTCCACCATATGGAATGCTTTTTCAGCTGTCTTGTAAAAAAAGAATAAGAATAAGAATTCTCTACTATTTTCATCTTAGAAGTCTTTGAAAGTATTTCTAGAGTAATGAATGGAAGCACACAAAAAGTAATCTTCTGAAATGTTGAAGTATCAAGACTTGAAACATCCATAATGGTTCTCGATCTTGATGGTACATATACTGATATAGAAGTATCCTTTCTCCTTGATTTTCATTTCAACATCCTTTCAATACAAATGTTTTTTGTTTATTGTTTATTGCTCTGAATTCTTGATAGAGAAAAGAAACAACAGTTCCACTTTAGTTTGAGATTCACGGTCTTCTCAACAGAGATTATAACCATTGCATGGCAAAGGGCCTGGTTACTTGAGGGACTGCCTGTCTCCCATAACACCTGCTTGGCCAATTCAATCTTGCAGGGGTGTAGTGCTCCAAGTTCCTAATTAAACAATGTCATCTATCAGGACCCTACTACCCTTCTCTGTTGTAGCATCTGCCTTCTAGAAAGAGATCCCCCTCCAAGATATGGAAGGTATTGTTTGGAAGAGCCACAAAGACCAGGCTTTTCACCCAGGCCTTTGGTCTTTGGCCTTTTGCTTCAGTGCACCCAAAAAAGCAAAGTGGAATAGAACTATGATAATAGAGTATCATTTAAAATATTCCCAGCTACAAATGATTTCCACCTACTGAATATATATACTTATATATTTATGATATTTTTAGAGGATTCTGAGTGGTTCACAATGAGCCACCACAATGAAAACATTAAATGTAATAAAACCCTAACCATAACACAACTAGTGCTAGCAGCTCCTCCTTAATCTGATCTTAAAGGCTTGTACAAGCTTCCAGGAATTCATTAGAATAGGAGCCACCTACATTTGGGACACAAGTTCCAAAAGAAAGGAATCCCCACAGAGATTCTTCTTTTCTAGAATTCTTCCTATCCTATTTCTCAAGAGATGCAGAGCTTCAGCAAACATTTTGTGTTTCCTCCAGATGAGTAGGCAAAATCTGACTGTGATAAGCAGTTTCATAGCCTTGTAAATTGTAGATTGTTGCCTATTTTGATACACATCCCTAAGTATCAAATTAATCTTTTAGGGCACAAGCTTTTAGGAGAAAGGATGCAGGGCCTTATTCATCTGAAGTTACCCAATTATCTGGGATTTTCCAAATGTTTTGTGGACAATTCAGAATACCTCAGTATAATTTTCCATCACTATAGAATAAGCAATCTATTGCATACAGTATTGTTTCACTTCTGATCTCCTGCTACTGCTGTAGATTTTTATTATTGTTTATTATTATTGACAATTATTATTTTTTAATATTGTTGTTAAATATCCAGCTTCTCAATTCTGCAAAAACGTAGACCATCAGAATCTATGTTAATAGCTGTAGTCCTATTAATATGCACCATATGATTTATAGGTGATGATGTACGTAGCTTCATCAGAGGACCACCTGGACCTCCAGGACCACCAGGACCAAGAGTAGATGGCAGCTTTAGGACTGAAAATTATAGAAGCTCTGTAAATTCAGAAGGAACATATGGCAGATCCACAAGTTCTGGCTTATCATATGATGCATCATTAGCTGCAAGAGGATCAAACAGCAATTCATTCAGAAGCAATGGCGGATCACGTGCAGATGAATCTTATGCTGGAACATTTGGAAGAGAAGAATCACAAATAAGTTTAATAGGTCCAAAAGGATCTTCTTATATGAGATCCTATGATGGGTCACTGGATTACAATGAATTAGCATCCAGAGTCTCTGAAAACATACAGAGTAAGTACACTACAATATATTCATAGTTTATCTGTGCCAATCTTGGGGAAATAGGTGTAGTTTTTAAACATAATAAATACAAATAACTAAAGCTCATTGAATCATTGATAGGCAATGTTTTTTGGCTATGGACTCAGAAATTGCATTTTCATTTTTTTGTAAAATTTGGCAGTTTAAATGGTGTATGTGTGTTGAACTTTGCATATTTGTCCACTGTTTTTTTTTGGGGGGGGAGCTGCTAAAGATGCTGAAAATCAGAGGTTTGCCATCACACCTGAAGGTATGAACTGGGGTTGCAAATCACATCCGGCTCATAGGCCTTTTATTGCTGCACTAAATATTGGCCTTAAAAAAAATTGATGCAATCCTGAATATTTAATTCAGGATCAGTAGCCTATGACTCTGTGGAGCTCCCTCCCCCCCCCTCCTTTAGCAATTCTCCAGCACTCAAGAGTTTATACTGATTGGTGTTGAACAGCCGGATTTTAGCCACACGATTTTGGCCTTTCAGGGATGACTTTTAAAGATGGGAATAGGACTAGTTTACATCTGTTTTTATCCTTAACATACCTAAAATAGGACTGGAAATATTTAGCCTTACTACCCATCCCCCTCAAATGTTATTCATCTCTCATTTCATAGAAAGCATTTTTGGAAAATACTCAGCACATATTCCATTTCTGAATGGCAATACAACAAATGCAATGAAGGTGGTAAATTAGTACCATAGAAGTACAGGCTCACAACCCTGTCTAGGATTGTTTTCAGTACTGTACTTGTCCATAGACCTAATTCCTCAAGTATTTGCTCAAACTTGATTTAGGCTAATTCTGCAAATTAGGGCAGATTTGGGTATTAGATTAGAAAAACAAGGTTTTTTTCAGCAATAGGCACACAACAAATTGTTTTCAATAGAACCTACAATAGGCTAAAATCTTTGGTTCATGTTATTAAATTATATCCCACACTGAGAATATAGCAGTGATAAGTGCCTTAAGAAATTAAAACCAAGACCTAACATTGACCAGTTCCAATAGTGGAATACTGTTTCTTACATGACATAAATTAAACAGGCATATATTTTAAATCATAATATAGTAGTGGGGTAGGACAAAACAGTCATTGGTAGGATCTAAATTGTGGATTTTGTGGGAGAATGTTGCACTATTTTTTACATCTATTATCATTTCTAAAACTTTACTTAACATCTGAAAGAATTGCAGTTATGCCTGTGGATCCCTAGCCTAGTTCTAAGATAATGCTTGAGTTAATTATCAAGTTTTTAGAAAACCAAAACCAAAAACAAAAGCATTACGGGATTGCAAGAACTGGAATGGATTGTTTCACTTTTATGGAGACCAGAATTTTAAATTGTTAGCTCTAGGTTGATAACAGCAGCAATTTATATAATTTATGTACTTCTTATAATTGTTTTGGAAACTCACTTTACATTAAGACTTTACATCGTGTGTGTGTGTGTGTGTGTGTGTGTGTGTGAATCAATCAGTTGGTGTCCATGCATGCAGAGCAATGATTCAACTTCACATTGAATATTTTGGTAGAGATTTAAAGACACCTGTGTGTGTTTTCTGTAAGACTTTAGTGCAGCTTCTTATAATATCAGTCAAAATTATGACCAAGAGATAAATGCAATTTTTTAGAGGAGCAATGATAGTCCTCATTAATTTCAACTTTCTTTAAGAGACGGGATGTTTTACGAATTTGGGTACGAATCAGCACAGATAGTTAAGTGGTGTTTCAAGGAAATGCCACATCATCATTATTAAAACAGCCTCATTCATTGCCATTTTTCTTCCCCAATCCAAACTCATCAACCGAAAAGTCTAATTTTTCCAACAAGGAACTATACCCGTGGTGGCGAACCTATGGCACGCATGCCACTGGTGGCACGCAGAGCCCTCTCTGTGGGCACGCGCACCGTCACCCCAGTCCTAGGCCTTCAGCTGGGTTTTATAAAACCTTTTCGCTTTAGGCCTCCATCATTGTATGCAAAAAAAAAAAAAAGGGGGTTCAATCAATCAATTTCAACTTCTCGTGGGAAAAAAAAAAGATCTTGCAAAGTTGGAATTGATTGATTGAACTTTTTAGTCCCACCCAGTCTGCTGTTATCACCGCAGCCATGCCTACCCAATGGACCACGCCCACCTAATGGGCCACACCCCCTCGGCACCCGACGATGCATAAGTGGGTTTTGGGTTGCAGTTTGGGCACTCGGTCTCTAAAAGGTTCGCCATCACTGAACTATACTGTCAAATAAATTGCCACTGTGATTACCATTAGAGTTGTTCTATATACTGTAATTCTTATCAGCAACCCAGAGGTACATGAACTGGCAGAATACAAATTAATGAATAATAATAATAATTAAAAAACCAAATTTATTTCCCAGGTCGAGGCCTTCTTCAAGACGTGATTGCTTATCATGCACAAGGCCCACCTGGACCTCCTGGGGCCCCTGGTATTAGCAAAGTGTTTGCGGCCTATGGCAACATCACTGCAGACCTCATGGATTTCTTCAAAGGTAACTTAATAATTTCTAATTTACTTTCACCTTTTATATACCATTTCCACATTCTATTTCTTGGTAGAAGTAAAGGTTTGTCATAAGTGTGATCTCTGGGCCTTTTTAAAAACAATATATGAAAGTGTCAGAGAACACTTGAATAGCTTAAGAGATCCTTGCCTGAAAGACCTAATGGCATTTAACTCATAATAAGAGTAGTTCACTTGTTTCTGAAATACTTGCATAAATAGCACTTATTTTATATTTATAAGCAGAATATCTAGAAATGCTGATTTTGATTGTTTTTTTTATAGCTTATGGAACTATTCCAGGCCCACGTGGACCACAAGGACTCATGGGATACCCAGGACCTAAAGGTAATTTAGATGCTTCAATGGCAAACTTTAAGAAACAAGGTTGGCTTTCATATGCAGTGATTCTGCGACATTCAAATAATCTAATAGGTTGGGAAGGCAGTCTAGATAGACATTGTTTTTTAATTGATACTGCTAGTACCTGGATGTCTGGGAAGCAATCCAAAAGAGTTGGATAAATGACTCATCTAGTTGAACAAGTAATCTTTTTTGATCATATTGAAAGGAAATTATGTGAAAGTCTAAATTTTGCTTTTAGAAGATGCAAGTGAGATCTAGAACAAAATATTGCAATATGCTTTGTAACTGGAATGTTCTTGTTCAGGATTTAAACAACAATCATCTGTTTTTCTAGATGTTCCACTCTTTATGCTCCTTTAACTTTTGCTGGATTGTTTTCCATGTATGCTTAATATTCTGCTCAGCATGCTTTGTGGCCGTTAGGGTTTTTGGGAGAAGCCTGTGGATTTAAAAATGAAGACTTTTTTTTCTTTCTTCTGTAAACGTCAGAGTTTCCCTCAGAGTGCCAGTATTTTGTCTTTGTTCCTTGGGAAGACCTTTGGGCCCCAATTCTGTTGGCACACAAATGCCTTCACTTTTGAATTATTCACCCTTAGAGAAAATGGTAACATTTCTTTCAGTTTAGCATGTACATTAAACTTAAGGTCCTTCACTTGTGTTCTTTCTTATTCTAAAAAATATAAAAATGAAGCAAAGTCATATACACCAAAAGTAAAGCAACTTCTACACAAATATGAAAGCATTTTCTCTTTTATTTAATTTTGTTTAAATAATAACCTGTCACTTACTAACATTAAATTGATCCCTTCTGGCTGTTTGGAGTTAGGCAGGTATTATCAATGAAAATGCTGATAATCTCATGCATAAAGTAATTCATGATTTGCATAATTGAAAACTGCTGGAAAGTTTGGATGCAGAAAGGGAAGCAAGTGAAACATTTTCCAGTTTGCTTGATACCTTCATAAGAAAATGGCTGGGAGCGTTCTTGGGACAAGGAATTGGAAGGCCTATGATCAGTTAACCTTTAAATTTGTTAAATGGTTTAACAAAGGTCTTTTTAAACTTTTGTCAAATGACCCCATTTAGATCCCTAGATTGATTACATTATTTGATTTTCCCCTTTATTCTAGGTGATACTGGATCAATTGGCCCACCAGGCCCCCAAGGACCAAGAGGGCCAAAAGGTGAAAAAGGTACAATACTATCTTTAAATAAAGATAAGCATAATGTAAACCCATGATCAAAAGGTTTTAATCATAATTTAGATTTATAATCCACTGAACTGTTAACTTTGTGTGAGCAATTTCTTTCATAACTTTCAGAGATCTACAATATAGGCAATAACTATGATACTACAAATCTCCTGCATGTTAGATCCCAGAAATAGGGAAAATCAGATTAGCATAAGCATCTGTGAGGAAGGGGTGGCAAATGTGATGACAAAACGTGTGACATCACAACCTAAACCTTATGACTTACAATCTTAGGTCTGTTAGGATGGAAATGTACATGGGTGGGGTTTGTGACATAATGTCATATGTTTCCTCTTTTCACTATTGTGGTTAATAGCAGAGCTAACTCTATATGGCAGGATATTAACTACATTTTGGATTTTTATAAATTAATTTATTTGCTCCTTCTGTCTCCATCAGGTGAACCAGTATATAGTGGCCGAAGGAGAAGACGAAGTACAAGAGCCTAAACTAAGAACACAAATTAGGGCACACCTTATCCCAAATATTGCTGTTTTTTTTAACACCAAAAGAGATGAAACACACCAATGTCTTTTGACTCTCACTAAAGAAACATCAATCTGCTACAAAGACTTGGTATTTGGGGAATTATTTTGCTAACATGTTCTTTTATGTCTATATTCTGGATGGCTTTCAGATGGCTTATTTGTTATATCTCTACATTAATTAGAAGGTCTATCATTGAAATATGAGGATTTTATATCTGCATAGCCTGCCCAATTCACCTTATTATCCAGGATAAACACATCTGAATTCCTTCAGATAAATACTAGGATATTTTCGTACAATTTTTGAAACATTTTTTAATGAAAAGATTAAAGTTGTGTACTTTATCTTGACATAGCAGAGGATGTATCTAAAAAGTGCTGCATTTAAGACAGGGGGCTAAAACCAGAGGTAACAATACCCAAAATATTGCCAGCAGGATGTATAAAACATTATATTATACTTTATATATTTATGCATCCTTTCAAACCCTGTTAACTGCACTGTGAAGAATCTTAGAGTTAATGATAATTAAGCATTTTTGTTACAACTGATACAAAAAGTTTGCTATGGTTTTTTCATCACATGAAATGCATTTTAATATCAAGCTTTCCCATTAGATCTTGTTTATATTCTAGCCTTTGGTTTCTACTAAAATTAAAATAGTGTGTTGTTCTGACATGGTTAGGGGGAAGTTTATAAGCTAACTATTGACTTGTTTTGGTTTTGGTGCTTTCAAGTCAGTCTTGACTCCTGGAAACTATATGGACAACTCCCAGCAGGTTTGTTTGGCAACATTCTCAGAGGTGATTTGCCACTGCCTTCTCCCTAAGACTGAGACTGAGTAGTCTAGTTTCTCAATTTCAAGTCTGGTACCTTTAATCACTGCATCAAACTGGCTGTCATAATAGTAACTACAGTAGAATAATTTCATATTGCATTCAGTATCATATCATTCAAAACAGAATAGTCTTACTTAAAACACTTCTACCTTTACAATGAACACCTTTCAAGCTTTTTTCAATCCCAAGTAAATTTCCCAAGTAAATTTCATCATAGAATTATATGCACAAAATAGGTAAAGGAAATAAACATATTTATCAGTAAAATTTATTTTCATATAACTTCAAATCGGTCAAGTTGACAATGTTATTTTGTATTGCCTAAATTCTCTGATTCCCCCATCAAAATGCATTTTAGCAGTATTTGCAAAACAATTGGTATCAACAGTTTAATTAAACATGATATAATCATGCACACACAGTAAATGGTACAGTACTATGCAATTCAATGCATGTGTACTCAAAAGTGGAACTTGTTTCTTGATAAATGTTTGCAAAATGAAACTGAAAGCAAAATGAAGCTTTCCTAAGCCTGTAAATTGATAGATAGTGTCTGCTTATCTCTATCTATCTATCCATCTATCCAAGTAATTTGATTCACACTGTAATCTTTTATACTTTAAATCCTGAAATGATAGCTGACATTTTGAATCTATGAACTATAAGTACAATTATAGTCCATACTCTATTTTCTCTCATTTGCTATATGATCTAACCCTGATATTCATTGCTTATGTGACATCAAGTCATTGCCAACTCTTAATAATCAGTTTGTGGTTGCTAATGAAAGGCTGCAGATATAGATGATTAACACCAGTGCTAGATTGCCAATTTACAGATTGCAAGTGGTCAAGTGACCAAACTAATATTCTCTCTATATGATGACCAATCTCCAATTCTTGAAGTTGCATGAATGAGAATTTAGTATACTTTGAAGGCACCAGATTGGGCAAAAGGGAGAGATTTATCCAACAAAACATACAAATGAAATCAAGAACTGTTAATCTTTTTTTTTTTTTTTTGCCTCAAACCCAGTATTTCCCATTTTAAAAAGGACAAGGGGCTATATTCCAGCAGTTTGCGTTGACAACTGTGAGCCATATTTGCAGTTAAAATTGATTAGCTGGCTGTCAGTTTCTGAATCTTCCCTAAACATCAAGCACAAATCCTTAAGTATATTAAATACTTTTCTGAACTTATCATTATCATGGAAAATGAATTCAAGTTTTCTTTTTTAATTGAAGTACTGGTTTTTATTCAGGATAAAATGAATAACTTGTAACTAAAATCTAGGCGCGGAGGTTAGTTGTGGGATTTTGAAACAAGAATCTGTTTGAGCTATTTGCCATAGAAGTAGCGTTATGCATTTAATCCAATTGTCATTTGTAAATGATTTTTTAAAAAAATAAATAAAATTACTTTAAGAATCTGTAGTGTGTTTTCTTTCAAAATCCAGTAGGGTACAATCACAAATGGGAACAAAATTGGATTGACTCCAATTTACATTTTAACTGATCTAATTGACATTTAATTAATGTATTCCACAATTAACCAGCTATTTCCACTTGAGTAAACAGTAATTAGTACTAATTGATCAGGAATAAAGTTTTCAGTAAAAGTTTGAAGCGGAGAAATCCACTGTCACAATATTAGAAATCATTATCATTTGAAATGGTGATTTATGAATTTGCTGATCAAAAAGTGTTGAATATAGGAAGAACCATTTTATAACTTTAAAGAGGGGGGAGAGATAAAGAACTTTTAGCTGCTATAAAGATCAAGAACTACTTCTTTAATCTTTTTTTAGTTTTTTTTTTTAAAAAACCATTCCATACAATTTCATGTTTATATTTTACATATGTGTAGATCATTAATAAAAATTATTTTAAGAAAATCATTGTCGCCATCTAGGTATGAAGTAGCAATGTCTTTTTACAGCAGCTCAAGAGCAGGGCTTTTCAACCTTTTCACAGGTTGTACCACTTTTAGGACATGACAATATTTGAGTACCACCAGTGCTTAGCAAGGTGTCAAAAACTTGACTAAAAAAAGGGGGGGGGGATTTTGCATTTTACTGATTAGATTCATTTGTTGTTATAGAAATGGCTAGTTTATAATATTATGGAAAAGTAAAAAGTTGAGGTTCAATGTTAATGCTTCCTTCTACTGCAACTGAGGAAGTCAGAAGTCATTTTTTTTAGTTTTTCCCTTCTCCCCTTCACTTTTTTCCTTTTTCCCCGCTCCACTGTGTCCTACTATTTGCGTTTGTATTTTATTCTATAATCTAATAAAATGTTTCAAACTGTAGAAAAAAAGGAAAAAAGTACCGGTTTTAATTTCTTTGGTGCCAGTTCCTTTGCCGAATCACTTTTCCTTTGCACTGACAAATATATGATGAATTTATCCATATTTATTAATATGTACCACTACCAGCTAGCTGGTCGGCCGTTCTTCCTCTCTACCTCTCATCTCCTTTCTCCCTGTCTTCTGAGCTCTCCTTCCACAGTGTAGTGAGAATGCACCCCCCAGTACCTTCACTGTACCCCTAAAGACACAGGAATCAAACGCAAAGCAAGAAAGGCTCACAAAAGCCTTCCAGAATAAAGAAATACTAAACTCTGAGTTTTTTTCTTTAAGCATGCCTCAGGCGTGTCACAATGTTACAACTGGAGCCTGAAAGGCTTCGGCAATTGCAAAAAGCAATAACCTTAAATTAAGCCTGTTTACCTACAAAGAAAACTTGCTAAAAGCCATAGACCAATTCAAGATAAGGGGGTAAAACTAATTGCATTTGTTTAAAGGGATTAAACCTACGGAAGACAACACTTTGGACTCATTGCTAGCCTTTGTGAAACAGACTAAAATATTCCAATAACCAAAGCACACAAACCGAGCCTCTGAATTACAAAATGCTGTAAAAACTATAAAAATTCTTATGGTAACTCAATCAAGCTGCCAGCTGACCCAGAACTAAATAAACCAACCTCCTTTCCGACATGCTCATCTCCCGGCTTTTCATTTCATCAGCGCTGATTGCATTCTCCTGGCTAGAGAAAACGAACCAGGGGGGCTTTTCTTCCAGCAACAGCTTCCCTGTCTTTTCCCTCCCTGCCTGCTGAACTTTCCTTCCACAGCTTCTCCATCCCCTTTCCTGCCAAAACCACCTTCTTTTATACCCTCTCCTCTCCTTTCCTCTCCTGTTCACCTCCAGCTATGCGCTACTTCTGGAAGCGTCAATTAGCTGGAGCCTTGCTGGCACTCCTGGGGCTTCTGCCGAGCCCCATCAGTCCTGTAGCTCCAGCTGCCTCTCCCTCAGGCTTGGGTCACTTCAGCTCATTTCCCTCCCCTGCTGCACATGTCTAGGAGAGTCACGTAACATCTGCCACATGCCAAAGTACCACTGGTGGTACGCGTACCACCGGTTGAAAAGCCCTCCTCTAGAGGGCAGCAATAGAAAATGTATTCAAGAGCTGGTTATCCTTTTTTAGGGACACATCTGTGAGTGTCAAAACCTCCCAGTGAGGATTCTTTAGGATTTTCCTTCTCACCTATCTTTGGATAGGGCTAACAGGAAAGAAATGATCAATATATGGTTATTTATTGTTCAAACATCAAAAAGAAAAAGCTAGTTGACTCTTGAGTTCTCATGATTGGACAGCATCCTTAGAACACATAACAAGCAAAACACAGCAAGAGCTTGATAACCTTGTTTATTAACTTGTTCTCTGGGAGTGCACAGTGACACATATGGCGTTTTTCTCCCTATTTTACACCTATGATAATTGAGCTGACAGATAATATCCTGTTTAGTGAGGAAAAACTGACAACTTCTCATTGAGACACAGAAGCTATGAATGGGATTATGTCAATTATACTACCCCTACTAATGCCAGAATCCAATTAACTCCCCTAACACATGGCTAGCCAGCTCCAACACAGCATAATTTTTCACTGTTCTTGGCAGATTGTTCTTGTATTAGTGGTTCTTATTAATGAAAAATTCTTCATAATTGACCCAACCAGACATTTCCAACATCCCAGTAGCAATTTGTTCCAGCTTCTTTCATCCCTTCTAATGTGAGATGCCCAGAAATGGGGTAATATTCCAAATATGGTCTAACTAATACAATATACAATGGAACAGTTGCTCTCTGTGACCTAGATAAAATCCTTCTGTTTATTCAGTCCAATGTAGGATATGCAGTTTAGCACTTTTTTATATTGCTTACTCATATTCATTTGCAGGTTCATTAGTACTTCTTGATTCTTCTCACAAGCCCTGTTCTCAAGCCAATATTTACTGTCTCATACTTATCTGATTCTTTTCTATGCAGGAACAGATTCTTATATTTATCACATACAGTCTGTGTGCGCCTTTGAATCAGTGTTGAATCCTGTCAACTTCCTGGATTAATCCCTGCAGTTTTCTTTACCAGGTTTTTCAGAAGTTATTTGCCACTATCTCCTTCCTAGGGCTGTGACTGGCCCAAGGTCACCCAGCTGGACTAGAACTTCATTTCTGATGCCTTAAGGCAGGGGTCTTCAAACTCGGCCCTTTTATGACTCATGGACTTCAACTCCCAGAATTCCTCAGCCAGCATGCCTGGCTGAGAAGGGAGTTGAAATCCATGAGTCATAAAAGGGCTGAGTTTGAAGATCCCTGCCTTAAGGATTACACCAAATTACCTCTGTACTGAACTACATTCATGAATATATTCCATTAATTACAATATAAATAAAATCAAGATTTGAATCGAAAGGTGACTTATTCTGTATGATGTTAAGCTTCAGTATCTGGCTAATTCAATTTTATTCCTTTGACACAATACAACTGAAGTCAGAATGATTTTTTAAAATTTTGCTTTGACAATGCTAATCTCAACAGAAAGCTTCAATGCTCTTATCAATTTATGAAACTAATGATGTGATTAAAAATGCACTTATAGTAACAGACCCACATTGCTTATAGTATTTTGTGTTAGAAAGCCATCATGCCTTTTTGCTCAAGGATTGATATGCCAAAGCTACAGGCCCATGAAGAGTATGACATTTTTCTACTGCATCAAACCCAGTGGTGGGATTCAGCATTTGCACCACTTCAGCAGAACCGGTAGCTAATTTTTTGTTGCCCAGGCCCAGAATGGACTTCCGGAAGTGGCATCCACACAGAGAACCGGTTGTTCACATATTTGAATCCCACCACTGATCAAACCTATACTTTTCAATGGAGTTCTGCACATTTACTTTTTCAGAGATTATATAAAAGACCACCAGCTGTAACTTTTCATGTTATCTGATGAAGAAAGGGATATACTGGCAGAATTATGATTACTGATGGACAGAATATTAAGTTATTCCAACTGATATAACCATTTAAACCGAAGCAGCATAAAACAAAATGAGAACGTATTAGAATATATCTTGCTAAATATGTATGAAAATATATTCATGAGATATGTCACCTGATATTTCTATTTGAAATAATCCTTTATTATTAAAGGTATCTTTGAAACCCTTTATCTCAATTTCTAAAACTGTGTGAATTTTACAGGCTTTTATATATCATGCATTAGCCTTATCACAAAGAGATCACAAAACTTAGGGCAGAATAATAACTGAATGGGAATATATAGGAAAGTTGAGATGAAAGCTAAATCATAGGCAAGAATTATTTAAGCTTTTTATTCTGTCATCCAACTATCATATTTCTTGAGGTATTAGTGAGTTGTTCTTAAGAACAACTGGTTGGCTTATATAGGCAGTTTGATATTATGTTCCAATAGGATAATGGCACTGTGCCTGAAAAATAGAAGACTTTTAAAATTAGAATAGGAAACTATGGATCCTAGTAGGTATCCAATCCAGGTTTCCTGTCATGATGTAAAAGAAACATGTGGCAATCAAGACCTGAAATAGAGAGACAAGTGAAGACTGTGAAAATAGGAGTCAATGGAAACCCAACTTATGTTATGAAATTGTATCTATATTGAGATAAATCTCCTAAGAAGAAAGTCACACCACAGATAACAATTAACGTGGGATATCAAGCAGTAGTAATGTAATCCAAATGTTGATTATCTAGTTCAACATATAGATATTTAATAAACTCCCACAAAACACCACACACCAAAAGGAAAACCATTCAGACTAGCAAACAATGCTTCCTTTTGTACATTTCAGAATTCTGTCTTAATCATGCTGTCCAATTATTTGATTCTGAACAAACTCTGGTTGCTTGTTTGTTTTATCTCCAGAAAGCTGATGTATTAACTATCAAAAATGACTGAAAAAATAAACCCAAATAAGGAAAATGAATACAGAAATACAACTGTCAATGGACTTTAGATTTTTTAAGCAGACTTATATGTTGGTTAAACAGACAGAATTTAATGATACAGTCAGTACTAGTTGTTTTACAAGGTGAAGCTTAAAAAAAAGTAAAGGTTGATGGATGCTTTTTCATCTATGCAGTTCTGAAAAAAAACAATTATGATGTAATAAAGAAAACATAACACTCTAGTATCATATAAAGGAATTTACAACCTGGTGCACATTACATATTTATAAAATACGATATAGATATTAAGGCTAGCTATACATTGCAAGCAAATTATTATTTCTGATGAATAGAATTTAACTGAAAATATGCACCTTCAACCTATACTTATTATATAGAAGTAATTGAACAAGTGAATAAAATCAAACTCAAGTGTCTGAATTCAGTAGCCAAAGTATTGATCACATTTCATTAAGGCAGTCTGTAATTTTTTTAACCTGTTTCCTTTGTATAAAAGGTAAACAATTTTGCCTTTAATGAAAGATAGCAAAATATGAAAATGTTTGGATGATAATCCAAAATTATCCATTAAAAGATTAGGCTGTAGAGGACTTTATATTACAAACTTAATTTTGCCATATCAAAAGCAATCATTTTTGATATGGTTCAGTTCTGAAAAGCTTGCCTCACTGAATGCAGACAAATCTGCTGATAGAAATATTTCCCATCACCAACAGAAAATAAATTACAGTGGAGCTACGAATTTTAGAAATAAACCATCTACTTACTTCTTAGCAAATGAAGTAGCAGATTAAACCGTCTCAGTATTTAACTTAAATCCTTCGATCAATGTGCATACTGAAATTTTACAAAAAGATCACTCATACCCAGAAATCAAAACATTAATTTGTAAGGACAAGGGCAGTCAAAGACTTTGCAGCATTGAAACCTGACAATGCTCTTCTGATCATCTACCCTACTCTACATGAGGTCATGCAGAGCTTCGAGGAGGGAGTGAAAATTAATGCATTTTCCCCTCTTTTAAAAAGATATACATTCTACAATTACAATGCATTTTGTAGAATATTACTAGCCAAATAGAAAATGGAAAGGAGGGGGGGGGACTATAAACTGTACATTTTAAAGTTGAGCAGGAATGCTCAGTTTAAGGACTGGACAAACATTGTCACTGTAACAGCAACCATTTATATTAATATCAACAGCTTACTAAGAGATAATCACAAACCTTTTATAAAAGAGCAGTATGTTTAATTGTTTCAGGCACTGAATAAAATGAGGCTGGACAACCGTTGCCTCATAAACAAGATTTGGTTGAATTAGTAGTACTGACGTTGTCTAAGAATTATCTGTATTTAATTCTTGGGACACTGCAGATGATCTTTAAATGGTTAGGCTTTCTTCCCAGTGCAAATATATTGGATATACAGTTTTTAAGATCAGTTTTCAAACAGGTATATATTTCTGAAACACGTTATACCATATTCTGTTTTGAGATCAGCTTCTGTGCTTCTAATTTCAATTGTTTTCCAGCGTTAAAACAAAAGAAAGCAAAAGCAAAGAAGGAAAATTCTGACATCTTTGATTGTCTCCACTGAAAGCGGATGAAGTTGGACAGAGTATATGTTGTATATTGTGTACGTGTGTATACATACAGAAACAGAATATGGTACATTGCCAATGCCAACAGCACATTGAAAGCCACCTCACAGAGGTTCAACAGTTATGATCCAGTGGAATGCAGGCTAGGAATTGGGTAGAATTTAGAAATCCGGCTTTGAGTTGAAGGATTAAGGCATTCAGATTCTCCAGACATTTTAAAGAAAACTTCTTGTTCTTGAAGTTTCCGGGCAAATTCCTCTTCTAATGTCTAGCAATTAAACACACAGAAACAAATAACTTTAGGATTTTTCTTGATTTATAGAAGACATTGTATAAAACTATCTTGGGGAAAAAGCACAGGTAAATTGTATGTATGATTGATTATTTACCCAAAATATCCTTATATTCTAAAATATTTTATTACCTAAATACTTAGATATAATCTGCAAAGCTAGCTTATCCTCTCCCCAGTTCCCTTTCAAAGTCTTTCCATATTTTTCTCAAGATTCTAATCTGAATCTGTAGTTCAGTTCCCACCAAAAGATAAAGGTAAAAAATATGACCAGTAATAACAATTTATTAAAACTACTCCTAAAGAAAGAAATCGAACTGCTGATAATTATATACAAACCTAAACAGTCCAATATTGATGAGCAACTGAATTTATTAAAGAAGGACTTAATCGCTGACATTATATAAAAGAGACCTCTGGCAACCTCTCTACTTAAAAAATGGGTTGCTAGCCAGGGCTTTGTATGGGTTCTCCATGGCTAATTGCATGTTTGGTGAACAAATTATTCAAGTCATGTGTGAAACTTTACATCTGTATAACAAAGGTAAGTTTCATGTAAGAAATGCAGGAATTTTTTTAATGTTTACTTAACTGCACCTAATTATTCTAATTTTGTGATATTGTTTACTGTAAATATTCAGTAGAAAATATTTTTAATGTGCTTTGTCACGGTAGCTTCTATATATGATGTAGTATTTCAACAATTGCGCTAGTATGTAACTATAAAAATGTACACTTTTTCCAGTAAGAAGTCTGGATCAGAATATTAAAACACACTGGATCACTATATAAAAAAACCAAATACTTCTCTTCAAGGTACAGCATTCTGTTTAGTTTTCCGTATTTCTCAAATTGAAGTTTTACCTTTTTCCTTGGTCTTAGTTTCTCTCTCCATTCTTTAAGCTCTTGGCTGTGTTCTTCATCCAACTCTTTTAATTTTTGAGTCTCATGTTCAACCAGTAGATGGCATTTCTCATTCTGAAAATGGGATATCATTTAGTAAATTAAACCAGATGGCATAGCCATTTGGTTACAGGTATGTGCTGACCTATTTTTTTTTAATTAGGTATAGTCTGAATGTTACTGCCATTCAGACCACAGATGAAGATCAAGGCAACTGGAAAACCAGTTGTCACTATTTAAACCTAAATATAATAAAAAAATAGAGTTACCTGAGTTTACCAGTCTATTAGAAATAATCCAAAACACTATTGCAACAAGATCAGTTCATGAGAGATGTCATTCAGATTATGAGTTTTTAGGTAGTTCTTAATACTATGTTTTATTGACTACTTTCACATTTCTTTAGGAAAATAGTGGTACAGAATTATTGCTTAAGAGAACACATGTATTCCCAGGTCAAGTGTTGGAGGAGAAAGCCCTTTTCAAATAGGAGAGTAAATGAGATTATAGATGTATAATATTTCAATACCATTCCATGCACAATATGCGATATATACTTCTGTACTACAAAATCAATCAACATTATGTTTTATATAACTGACCTGTAACTGGTGCAATTCTCTAATGTTAGCTTCACACTGCAATTGAAGATCTCGCATTTGATTTTCATGTTTCTGAAGTTGAGCCAATCTTTCATTTTTCTGCCTCTTTTCTTCTTGAATAGCAAACTTGTACAAAAATAGAATTTAAATTAAGACTTACTATTTTTATATGTAACCGCATAGACATGGTACATAATGTACAATATATGCACTTTTTACATGCTATTTACAAAGTTTCTGGCAATTTGGGTACATGTTATAGTTTTCATAAACTATCAAACCTATAAAATTCCGAATCTTCATTAGTTAACTGTTCCAAATTCATTCTAACTTTTTATTATTATTATTATTATTATTATTATTATTATTATTATTATTATTATTATTATTATTATTATTATTAT